ATAGCCTTCGACCGGAAACCATCTCCTGTAGATGTAGTCCTGTACATCGCATCGGTTCTCTTACAACCGGATCGAAGCGTCGATTCTTCGGACAATATTCTTAGCTCCGTATTACAATTTTAAATAACGTAGACGGAGACATACTTCGAACGAATCGTGATTAAGAGTTAATGCTCAATAATTTAAAAACGCGTATTTAAATACTTGGCGTTGGAGTCTAAATTAGTTCAATTTTCGAATAACTTATCAAACTAAAAAAATTGATATCAATAAGTCAATCAATGATCATATCTTAATCGAGAATATTTTTGTGCCTCATCATGTCTACTTTGTAATGTAAATTAAAGCATTGAGAAACGTGTGCTAATACAATTATAAGCATATTAATTGTAAAAATAAAAAGTATTTTTATCAGTTACATATGTTACGAGCAGATAAGATCATTTCTTTCTTTGTTAAAATCGCGAAAGCAATAGCTTTTTATAATTTTACAAGTATATCTTCTTATTTTTTTTGATCAATAAATATGTAGTTAATTTCACGGAAACGCGAAATATCTTTCATATATAACAATAAGTCCAGGGAAACTCCGTATTACAATTTTAAATAACGTAGACGGAGACATACTTCGAACGAATCGTGATTAAGAGTTAATGCTCAATAATTTAAAAACACGTATTTAAATACTTGGTGTTGGAGTCTAAATTAGTTCAATTTTCGAATAACTTATCAAACTAAAGAAATTTGATATCAATAAGTCTCTTTACATCTTCAATTCAATGATCATATCTTAATCGAGAATATTTTTGTGCCTCATTATGTCTACTTTGTAATGTAAATTAAAGCATATTGTAAAAATAAAAAGTATTTTTATCAGTTACATATGTTACGAGTTAGATAAGATAATTTCTTTCTTTGTTAAAATCTCAAAAGCAATAGCTTTTTATAATTTTACAAGTATATCTTCTTATTTTTTTTGATCAATAAATATGTAGTTAATTTCACGGAAACGCGAAATATCGTTCATATATAACAATGAGTCCAGGGAAGGAAAATTTACGTCGTGCCAACTTTCCCCGGATGCTCTTCGAATAATTTTCTCGCGCCAGCTTCACCGACTTTATCTCCCGAGAACTGAGTACACGGTGCATTCGCCGGTTAAAGGTCGCGGACCTCTAATCTTGAGCGGGTCGAAACGCAAGGTGGCGAGCACTTGGGCGAGGTCGTCCTATATTTAAGGGGGACCGTCCCATAAAGGAGGACAAAAGTTGTGCGCCGTATCGCAGATGCGCGCGAGAGCAGGCCGCTGGAAAACGGTTTAACGTCTCGGTCGTCCGGAGCCGGTAATGGCCCCGGTCGGAATAGTTTCAGAAAAATGGCCACGGCGGCTGAACTTACAGTTAAATAAACGCCGGCGTGTCCGTGGATAAAACGATTTACTGGCGCCCCCCGCGAAAGGATAACGCTAGCCATTTGTACGTAATTCCAGGCGAGCGCTCTCGCGTTATCCGCTCCGCGAAATTGTTATGGCGAAACGAGCTTCCGTCCTGTCGTGTAGCAGGTATCCAGGTTACCTGACCCGAGTCGATGAATTCGTGGCACCTCGGAAAGAGGAGAAATTAAGGTCTTATACGATATTTTTCTTCAACATATAGCGTCCCAAAATTAACAGTAAATCTGTCAATGGCAGATTCCTGAGATCATTCAGAGACGATTTTTCCTCAGCAAAAATGTTGAAGAAGACTATCATTTTTTGCACGTTCCCAATTTGCCATCATGTATCAAATTAAAATTCTATTAAAGTAAACTCTAGAAAAAAAAAGAAGAAAAATCGTTTCCAAATTATCTCCAGGAATCTGCCATTAACAGATTTATTATTAGTTCCGGGACCCCTGTATGACGTGACATGTGACAAATTCGTTGAACAAATTCCTATATTCGCGATTAGATTTTCCAGCAATTATCCTGCGCTTAGTTTCAATGTCAAAATTTATCACATCGATCATTTATACGTGCTCTTCAACGCTTCAAGTGTTGATCGCGAGCGTATTTTCCCTACTTATACCGCGACAATTATTCTACGACGTCGTCGCTGCGAACGTGCTCGAATTCAAGGGACGCGTTACATCTTAATTACGTTCACGTCGTCGGATACGAATCCAGAAATTCGAGCTCGTGTCTGGGAACAGGGAAAGCTCGTAGGTGGAAGCCGGGGAAGAATGTCCGCGGATTAAGTGGAACGAACGTGACTTAAATCCATTGTAACCCCTTGGAACGTCGGTATCGTTTGTAACCGTCACGGTTGTATCTACAACGCGAAAGAGGACGCGAGAAAGAGAAAGAAAGAGAGCGAGACGTGGAAGAGCCAAGATGAGGAAAGTATAAGGAAATAGAAAAGAGGAGAGAGAGAGAGAGAAGGGGTTCCTCTTAATCTCGCCTTTACGTGCGCTTGACAAACGAGGAATGCGGATGACACTGGCATTGTACTCTCCCTCGTATTATACGATCGTGCGGATCTCGCATTCTACTTGGCGGGCGTCTTTTGCAGCACCTCTCATTTGCGTGTTGCCGCAATGAAGATATCGACTTAACACCTAGATGCACTCGAATTGCTTGGCGAAGAGAGAAGGAGAGAGAGAGAGAGAGAGCGATTTCACCATGGGCACGAACGTCTCGTTGTTGAAACGGCATTCTTCCGCTAATGGATATGGTTCCTGCAAACTTGATATCCGCCAAGTCGTTTCGTCTTTTCTTTTTTCTCTCTACTACGCAATCCGAGGAACTTTCCTCCTATTCTTTTAACGTTGGACTTTTCTTGCCGACAGCAATGCAGCAAATTCAACGGTTAAAAATTCAAGTTTTGTATAACATCGGAATTGACGAAGGTGAGACCGCAAGCCTCAGTTATGCATGGCACATTTCGATTGATTTCATTAAAGCTTCGTAAATATACGAACAATGAGGTCTTTTATATGCCTACATTTGTATATTTGTTTATGTATATTAGATGTATTGCGTATATAATAAATATGCAATACAAATAGAACGATGCAAATTGGAACATGTATTCTCACAGAATGATATACCAATTAATATATAATTAATACCAAAAAAATTAAAGATAAAAGCTATGTCGTAAAAAAATAGAATTATTGCGAATATATTGTAGAAAAACAAGACTGTATTCTATTTAAATTTTTGGTCCCATCTCATTCGCACTTCATATTCGTGATATGTTTAGTAATCGGCGCTGAATAAAATCTCTGTTTTCACTTGGACGAATTTAACGACGGACGTTTACCGCGCAAATATATCCCTGCTGCCATTATGTCAGCGGCTAGAAAGGCCAAAGTATTACAAAGTTAGAGTTGCAAGTTACTTCGCATTCGCCATTGTTAAAGTTACTATGAGTTCTCGTCTCCTTGCTTTCAGATAACAGCATCATCTCACATTTTAGTTTGAAGTTTGTTGGCGTAATGCCGTAAACTTTACATTTCAAAAGAATTGTAAATACACGCGCGCGTGCTTGCACAGTTAGGTAATATTTCATACCTTCAATTTCTAAAGATTTAAAACGTTATAATGAAAGTGCGATTGCGTGATAAAATACTCGAGCTGTACTAAAATACACTTTTAACGTGACATTTACGTTTTAGAGCTACAAATAGATAATCGGCCTTGAGTGCTACTTACATAGACAGAAGTAATCCAATAATTTTCAGTCTGTATTTTCTGTCGATAAAAAGAGCGTCGAAAAATTGTATTTTAGATTTACACGATTACTTCGTTTATTATTTTATAAATATATCAAATAGATATTAATATTTGCAAAAAAAAATCATGTATATCGTAATAGTTTTATTGAATAAAATTTGGCGAGTAACGCATTTAGCGTAAAAATAATTGTAAGTTCATTTATTCTCTTTTTGGTGCACAGTTTGTAGAAATCAATTATCGCGTGCTACGGATGGTGATGAAAGCGGTCGTTATAACGAGCATATATCTCAATTAATTTTTGTTGGTATTGACATTGCTACAGGTGTCACGAATTAAACATTGACGGTACCAATTTGATGTTCCGGTCAACGTAAAAATCGATTTCGATAAATCACAGTAAGCTCGAAACTCGATTTGTCTTGTCACAAATGACTGGAAAAATTCAATAGCAAAAAAAATTCATTTCATCTTGTTACTGTGATAAAACCGACCTAGTAAATGTTAAAAATTCCAAAACCAATAATAGTATACCTCTGTTGCTTTCATCTGATAACTTTGTAAAATATTATATAATAGTTTTTCAATATCTAAAAAAACTTGTATTTAACAATTTTTTTTAACCGCTATTATATCAAATGTAAAAAATTATTCTTTACGAGACATTTGAAAAATAACTAATTATAAATATATTTGTTAAAAAAATATTTTTTTTATAATCTGATATATAGATTAAATAAATAAATATATTTCCTTTCGTTGGGACAGTGCGAATATAAAATATGAACAAATACTGACATACATCCCGAAGAAGTCCCGAGAGCTTACGTCGTTCTCACATTCAAGATTGAAAGTTATAGTTCTTTATGCATGAGTGCATTAACTTACAGTCAACAGTAAAGAAAGAACGATCAGGAGTTCTTTTTTTATTCTCCCTCTTTCTCCGCTTTTGCTCTCCAATTTATATCGATTATTGATTTTGATTCTGTAATTCTAAATATGTATATGCATTGATAAAAAACCGTCAAGTTCCAATCTTAGCTTTCACGCACGTAATAGTCGAGCAACACACGTTTCCAGCATGACGTCTGCACTTTAGGAACGTTGCTCCGATTCGATAGCTGTAAATAGATAACCAAGCTTGAGTGCTATTTATATGAACAGACCTGTTGGTCCCCAGTTTCTATCTATGTTCCTGGACAATTTACAAGAGCTAATAATAAACGTTAGTAAAGATTTCACGGCCTACGATATATCTATGACCCGTTAAGAATGGTCGGTAAAATTTCAAAATACTTTATGAGATCAATTTTGTAGGAGTTGATCTCATTCTCCCTTCCTGACATGGAAGTTGATGTAACCAGGATGAGAAGCGATATAGCCTACTTCCTTCAGCGTGAGAACGACACGAGTTCTCGACCTGCTCAAGATCTCTGTCATCGACGATCGTTTATCTTTTGCACTCAATACAAGGATAATGGAACGAAGAAGGGCTTTCTACGCGAGCTACAAAGTTATGAAAAGAAAAATATTTTTTTTTCTATGTACAGTATATACGCGTACGTATATAGCATATATAATAGTACAATATATGAGTATAGTATATATTATTAATTGAATGATTTTTATATTAACTCGCAAAGTTTTACTATAATTAAAGTTTCTTCATATAACTATTATATTTTTATATAAAAAATAATATAATATGTAATATTAAAAAAATATTTTTGCAAAATGTATTTTCATATTAAACATTACTCATTCTCAATGTCAATGCCTATTCTATATTACGGAATGATCAATCTTTATTTCTCCACTTTTCCAGTTGAAAATAAAATAATAACAAATAAAACAATATACATTACATGAAAATTTAAACTGTATAATTTAATTTACGTGTTGCATCTCGACATTATACATTTATATTGCAAAGTACACACTCCCGACCACGACGTGAATTAACGGCACCCCGAGTATTTCACGCCGCGACTCATCTTCCTTCATTACCGCGATTTGCATGACACAACAACGAATTAAACGACGGCGGTGGTTTCGGTATCACATTCGGGCGTTTTGCGCGACAACGCGTTTTCGGGAACGGGATAGTTCGCGTATATAGGCGCGAGTGTGCAACACCCGACACATAACGATTGCGCGAATAGGTGGCACACGTGTGTTCGGCAACGCGCAAATGTCCCGCGGCGACACGCCAAGGCGACGGTAAACAATGTGGGCATATATTACTTCCACCCGTCCGGTATTAATGCATTGTGCTACGCCGCGTGCATCCGCTCGCGGAGTCCATCGACACCTTGCGCATGCATTTACTCTCATGGACTCTTCCCTTTTCACAGTTTATTCTTTTCGTGGCAGACTTAATACTCATATTTTTCATATGTTTACACAGTAGAGAGAATGCGATAAAACTGTGAACTCTTCTTCCTCTTTTTCATCTACGAATTATTTAATCATTTTCCAACTAATTTATTTATCTATTCTTCTATTGCGTAACACGAATGTGATTATTCGAGATATTAATGGAGAGAATTTTTTATCCCTAAAAGACGTGTAAAAATAAATAATTAATTGATCGAATTCAATTTTATTATTTTTTAACTATTCGATACTTGTTATCGTTTTATCGTAAACTTTTCGAGATGTATTTCAAAACAATTTTATAACGATACTGTATATTATTATTTCTCTCCTCTTGTTAACGATATAAAGATCGCTTGTTATTGAAACAGAAAATCTAAATAGAAGCTCTTGTAAATGCACGCTTCAACTCCCCACATCGTTCGATGCATTTAACCGAATGTGCATCTCGCGATTGCTTTTCCTTTTCCGCTTTCTATCCTCCGCGGTTTTGCTTCCTTTACTCGGTCCTTTTGCCCGTTTAGCATTTCCTTTTTCAAAAGTTTACATACGTCATTTCTTTCATCTTCGCTTTTGAGGACTAAGGAAACACTAACAAATCAATTTCAACTTTTACGTCGCGGTTTCTTTTCAATATTAAAAATATATATCTGATAAAAATAATGAACGGCCGTACTAAAAACAAAATTTGCCATTTCATGCTCGAAACGATCTCTTTTAAAAAATTAGAGCCATTACATTTTCTTCAGTCTCTAATTTTAGTTTTTCATGTCCTCGTTAACGTTGTAAAGATTGGCCGCTGACGTAACTTCGTAACGCAATGAGAGAAATAACTACCACACGGCCGCGGATCCCCCAATGCAATATTCTTCTCTTCTGTCGTCTCGTTCCTGCCATTTGCTTTTCTCCGTCTGTTCCCGTTTTTCTCTATCGCAACTTACACTACTTGTTAACTGTTCCTTTCGAACTTACCGCCGTAGAAAAAAGGAGTCGATGACTGCGAGGTACGACAGGAGGTCGTACTTAACTAGTTGTCGGAGCAAAAGTTTGCTTGGTCGGAGGTTAAAAAGAGAGTACCGTTCGTTTGTTTATTAGTGAAGTCGTAATTGAAACGTTAATTCTTCATTCTTGGCGAAACCCATAAGCTTGCGTGTAGATTCGAAAAATTATCCAATAAAATAACTCTTATTTCTTAATTTTAATAATAGTAAAATCTGTGATATATTTAAATTTATTATTCTTTTTATACCTTTCTTATAGTTTTTTAATACCTTTCTTATAGTTTTAATATCCTTTGTTATTCTTTTTTTTTTGTCTTTATATGCGGAATAAATTTTTAATTAGGTCATCTGATCTCATAGATATTGCATCTGACAATGAGACCGAAAATAAATTAATGAATAAATTGAATTCAAGAAATGAAAATTAAAAAGAATTTATATCACAAATTCAAAATTGATTCGCGGCATTGATAAGAAGCGACCGAATCACGAGCGAAATTCGCATGACCGATAATGCGAATACATTCTTAATTTAAGAAATTAGCGGTATAGATGGGATATAATGAAGAAGAAAAAAAGAATTGCCAAAAAAATTATATTAAATTATATTGCAGATGAGAGATTTCCTGATCTTTTTTTGCACGGAGGTAATAATGAATCTTTCGGGCAAGAGAATATGCCGATAGCCAATTTCTCGGATATCCGATATATAATATTCGACTTCGGTGCCGAGTAATCTCGTTTTTATCGGCTCTCACAAAATCCTCCAATTAGCTCGCATAACATTACCGTAATTACGGTACCTACCTATCGACCAAGGCATCATCGATAGGCTTAATACATCTTCCCTACGTACGTATATTGAATCGCTGCTTTCGCCAAAATTGCATTCTTCGTCAGTATGAGGAGCACATGTGAAATTAGCAAATAGCTCGTGAAAATCTAACGCAAATAACTTTATACAGAGCCTGCAGAACGAAGCAACAGCCAGAGAGATATACAGAACCAAACAATTTTATATCATCCTGTATACTTCAATTTTTTTTTAATAAAAATTTCACAAGTATTTAACATAATTTCCATAATATGTTTTAAAATCAGATATAGCATTCGCATTTTATTAAAACAATTAGTCAAATATAAATGATCAGATACACATTGATGATCTTATCCATTTGAAGAACCAAAGACACCAATAATGAATTAATCAATTAAAATCGTAATTTCACATACGCGAAAGTATATAATCGAGAGGATACGTAGAAGCCAACAACGAGTCATCTGTATCACTTTAGGATGACAGCGGTGGGCCGCGACGTAATAAGACCGCGGCAGGAAGTTTCATGGAGTGTAATTAACTCGACGGAATCAGCCGCGGGCGCGAGTGTGCACTTTGGCGAGTGCTCGCACTCGCGGGGGTAAGTTGGCTGGTTCGCGAGTGCACCGGTCCGTTGTTGGCCCGTCTTAGACGCAACGCGCCCGGCACATAAATTCTCGAGGGCTCGGTGGCGCAGATGCGATGCGTCGACGCCCGCGCGCGGTTGGCTCGCAACCAATCCTGATCGCGTTACAAAGCAGCTTGCGGAAGCTTAGGAGAGCTCCGTGAGATTTGCATTATTTATCGGGCGCAATCGTACACACACTTCGAGTTCCCCTTTCTTTATGATTCCCATATGTCTCATCTGCCGAGCTTCGATTTTCTCTTTCCCTCGCCGTACTCGCAATCGCAAGCTTTCGAGAAATAATGTACGAAAAGAGAAATACAAACTCTAACTACGTCTCCTTTCCAATCTTTCATTGCCAGAAAAGTGTAGAGCCTGTTCTTTATTATTTTATATATTATTATCGATATCGATGATTATAAAAACAATCTTTATAATGAGATTAAAAAACTACAATTCCACGACAGAGCTTAATACAAAAAAAATATGTATATATATATATATATATTATAAAAAATTCAATTTCAAATCTCTTTGTCACCTTATTTTTGCGTCATCGCATCTCTTCGGAAAAAAATTCTATGTGTTCTACGCTCTGGATGAATCAAGGAAACATTGCGACGTTATTTATAATCGATGGTTCTGAAATACGCGCTGCCGTATCTTTTTTTTTTTTACGCTCCCGCACTATCAACATGAATAATAACGTGGGATGGGCATAAGTATTCTCGAAAGTTCAATTTCCCATCATGACGCCCGATGATTTATCGATGACGCTACAAACGAATGGACATTATTTACTGTCGCTATTTCGTTTTCCCGCCGACCGTTCGATATTTCAAAAGAGTAAAATTCCACGTGTACAAAGGCACGTTCAAACATGAAAAATCACCCGGGAGGGGGAGTGGAAAGATATTTATTCGCGTAGCTCTTATCGACTTCATAATATCTGCATTTATTCTTTTCATATATTTTATAATGATTTTATCACATAACGATTAAAAATCTAATTATTTAACTATTGATTAAATATCAACCGAGAGAAATGATATATAAACATAGTCAGTGTCATAAATAATGATCAGCGCAAAGTATAGAGATGACAATTATAAAACACCTCTGAGAAATCATGGCACCGTTAGCATTTTTTAACTCTTCCGATCGCATATATATACGAAAAGCCGCGGCCGCGAAACAAAAGAGTTAAAGCGTTCAGGGCGCATAATGCTATCAGAAGCTGGCCATCCGCAGGGCAAGTGAAGACGAGCAAAATGCACGAGATAGGCAACCGGGCGGGCAGACAAGCATTCTTGATGAACGCGCCTGTTTACATCTGCCGACTGAAGCCGCCGAACCTGCAGCAGCCGCACGAAACGCCGAAATATTCCGCCAATAATTTTATTTTTGCTTTTAATATTATTTTGCCCGTCCGATGGGATCGCGGGAGGCGAACGCCCAACGGCGCCCGACGATGGGTACCCTGATACTAGATAAGACCGACAACGAACGAGGGATCGCCCTTCTTCAGCATCCGCTTCTCGGCAGATGGGCATCTCTCGTATTCGCGCGAGAAGCGAAACGCGTCAACCTCCGATCCGCGGGATTTTTTTCGTCGCGGCAATCGATGATGTTTCACGCAAATTAAGTCTCTAATTAAACTCTGAACGTTCCGAGAGATATTCTCGT